CATCTGAGGGTTAATAAACTGTCAGCCTGAAAGATTTTACTCTGAAACATTTTCTGTTCTACTGTTTCCTCTTCATAACAAAAGTCACATCCACACTCTGTCAAATTCTGTTGATCTGAAACCAGAGACAAGACCAGGAACTTGAAGTWGAAGCCACAGAGGATGAGCCCCACCCCTAGTGGCTGGCTGCAGTAGGTAAGCTGGTTGGTAGGTGTTGGTGAAATTGTGGTTTACAGTTTTTCTCAGTTGCTAAAACATTAAGCCCTGTTCTTTGAATCAAATGCTCAGTTCCCCGAACCCATTTATTAAAATGGCCACCCTTTTGTCACAACACTTTTGCCTTTTGTCACCCAGTTAGACACAACATGCAGACCTATTTTCACCCACCAAAACACATTTTGCCCTTTGATTCACATGGGTTCCACAATGATTAGCACAGGTAGCCAAAATGAGACACAAATGAAGCACTGCTGTCTGAACTGAAACACAGCAACTCAAAATAGATCACACGTGTCTAATGATGTGACCAAACCAATACAAGGCAGCCCTGGTCATCCAAGCTTCACTATGAATAGAAAAAATTCACAGAAGTAAATACTCTAAATACATAAAATGTATTAGTACACTTAGAGAAAAACCAACATATTTGTAGGCTATACACTCATGCAATATATAGGCTACAGTCGCTACCGAAGATACAAAGGACATCCTGATCAAGACTGACAAACAGGTGATGCTAACCAGCTGGACATGGTGGTTGACAAACAAGAGAAGAAGGCACCACTGATAGATGTAGAGATCATAAGTGACTGAAACACCCGGAACAAGAAGAACGAGAAGCTGGACGAATACCAAGATGAAAAAAATAAGTTATAGAGAGTCAAAGTATGAATAGTCCAAGAGGTCACTGGAGCACTTAGTGCTGTGACCCCCAAACTAGAGGAGTGACTTCAACAGAGCAGGAACAACTTCAGAGATCTCTGTCTAGAAGAGATCCTGAACAGAACCCTGAAACTCCCAGGCCTCTGTTGGAGGACCTGAGTTTGAAAGGAAGTGGAAGAATAGGACGAGATGCAGCGGGTAAAAAAGTATTGAACNTGCCATGGATATTTTGTGGGTCAGAAGATAAAAAGTTTGTGGAACCACTGATTGAATTTTATAGGAGTGTTTGGTTTTCTAAAATCTGTATATACTCAGCATTGATGTTGTCTTTCCAAATGTGTAAACTTCTACTGTGCCCCCTCCCCCCATACCATCTGAAAGGCAGGTTTTTGAACTTTGCTGATAACAGGGCAGATATTTTCTCCTCTTTAGTACAAAGAAATACGGCATCTGTTGTCAAACAGTGGTGCAGTTTTTGTGAATGCCATCCAAGATGGCGGCGGTGGCGGCAGATGTATGTAGCTGTGCAGTATCGCTGCAGGAAAATACATCCAATTTGGC